AATATCAAACAATCAAATATTACACAGTATGTCGTGTTCGCTCTGTAAGTCCTACACTAATTGAAAGATTTTTTCAATCTTGGCTCAAATGTTCACCTTAACAAGGTATTGTGCAGAACCCATGTCACTCTTTTGCTGGCTAAAGGTCAAGGTCACACTTGAAGGTCAAAAATTGACTTAGAAAATATTCTTAAATTTTAACATGTACTTGATTATTTCTTAAACTAGCACAGGTATTTGCTTGAAACTTAAAAGATATATGAGGTGTCACAAATTAGATATGCAGGTAAGTTTCATAACTCTGTATTGCATTTTGACAAAGTTATGCCTCTTTTTAAGTCTTTAAAGTTACCGCTCTATAAATTCTATACTAATGGAAGGATTTTCTTCAAACTTTACTCAAATGTTCACCCCAACTGGGCGATGTGCAGAACCCATCTTACTCTTGTGCCAGCTTAAGGTCAAGGCACTTGAAGGTCAAAAATTGACTTATAAAATTAAATGGTAAGTACATTGGGAAAATGAAAGGTTATTTGTAACTGTTTCGAACATGATTTGATAATATATATTTATACTATTACCTGTTAGCTAGTCGTCTTCTGTCGGGGTATGAATCGCATTCAGCAATAGCTCTAGTTAATTACTGTTTTCTTTTCTGTTAGGTTATAAAAATCATTTTTAAAATCCAACTCAGCTTTAATTGGAAGATGTTAAAATAAATCATGTTTTGAATGTACATCAGTTTCACCCCCCCCCCCCCCCCCCCCTCCGCCTTTCTCTATTAATTATTAGGTCAACTGCTTACAATGTTAAAAAGACAAACCATGTGTTCTTTTGTATCTACCAGGTCAACCATTGACTAAGAATTATTCCTTTTAAACGATCATTGGACCGTTCCAGTGTTTACAGTTTAATGTAAATTGGCTAACTTGTTATCCAATCGCTACACTGAGATAATACATAATCACTGGTTGACCTGGTTTGCACAAAAGAACATATGCTTACGTTTGTGATACTGTTTGTGAGCAGTTGACCTAGCAATGAATGGAAAAGGTGTGGCTAAATGTTCCGCTACAAAAAACGTGAAAAGTCCATAGCCAGTCTTGTCAATTTCAAATAAAATTATAATATTCTGTCCGAAAACAATGTCCTGTGTTTGAGTTTGGAAAGAAACACTAGGTTATATGCATGGGTATTCAAGATAACAAGGGGATTACAGTGTAGATTGGGAAGATTAGTGCATGTGTCTTGTGCAACTTTAAATTGGTCAGTTACTGACATTTACACAATGTGTCTTTTGCGACTTTAAATTGGTCAGTTACTGACATTTACACAATGTGTCTTGTGCGACTTTAAATTGGTCAATAACTGACATTTACACAATGTGTCTTGTGCGACTTTAAATTGTTCAATAACTGACATTTACACAATGTGTCTTGTGCGACTTTAAATTGTTCAATAACTGACATTTACACAATGTGTCTTGTGCGACTTTAAATTGGTCAATAACTGACATTTACACAATGTGTCTTGTGCGACTTTAAATTGTTCAATGACTGACATTTACACAATGTGTCTTGTGCGACTTTAAATTGTTCAATAACTGACAAATTACACAATGTGTTTTGTTCGACTTTAAATTGGTCAATTACTGACATTTACACAGACAGCCTTGTCTCTCTCTTAATGTAAATAATTGGGTCATAAATATATTGGTCAAGAATTTCAGATGAAGTGTTGTTGTTGAAATTAATGTTATGTAAAATTAAGCTTTTTTTTCAAAATGATAGTCTTCAATTGTTTATAAAATTTTACTGTTTCATTGTGATCTTTTTATATTCAAATTGGCTATAAGATTGAAAGATTTGAAATGGGAACTTTGAAGAGGTTGCCTTGCTATCACAACAAAAATATTGAAATAGTCGAGATAGGAACCTATAAATGTGTAAATAACTTATTTAAATTGGCAAAAATGAAAATGTTCCATCACAGAATAATTTAGCACAAATGAACAATAAAATATAAAATGAATGATGCATTGTTTAGAATGTAGGAACACATTCATAGAACAGTGATCATGGTACCTTCAAATTTAATTTTCTGTACCATTCCATTGTTTTACCTTGGGCAAAAGCGCAATGTATATAGCTTAGTTATTTGGTAAATTTGACTCTCAGCATATTCATTTAAATACTTAATTTGATGTCACATAGGCCTTGCCTTTCAGGGCATTTTTTATGTTAGAAAATATTTATAAGTCTTCATCACCTAAAGCTATCTTAATTATTGGTTAGGGAATCCAAAAACACAATTTTTTTTTGTAATGGGTACGGTTCATTGAAGAAATTGGATTATAAGTAGTTTAAAGGAAAAATTAATATGATCGTAAAATTTATTGTATCTTAAGATAGTCAAAATAAAATGTGCACTTTTTCCAAGACAAATTGAATTCAGGGCATACTGTAAAAGATTTGATGTTGATATTGTGTTAGATTGATTTTTACATAATTTGTCTGCTATCACTCATGCAAAGGGGATAAAATATTAGGCTCTCTTAACAATTTTGCTTTAAGTGCTTTTCAATGTGATGTAAGTTTGAAGAAACATTCCATAATCTTGACAGTTTCCATTTAATTTTTTCTCATTTTTTTTTGCAAACATGCTCTGTTCAGTAATGTCCAAACTGTGATAAAATTTTGATGGTGGAAAACATGATCTTTTGAAATGTAATGTTCTGTAAATTTTTTATCAAACACAAATTTCAAGAAAGTTTTGGCAAGTTCCAGGCTTATATATGATAGATACTAATTGCTTTTCAAACTTTTATTGTGTTTTAAACAGGACAATTTGTACTGTTAAAAGATAATCTTTACCATTTATTTTACTAGAAACTTATAATGTTTTAAAGAAGAAATGTGAAATTAAGATATTAGCCTAAAATTTTATGTTAACATTAAGTGATATGACTGCAAATATTGGCCAGTTAATTGCCTATATTGGAAGACACATTGTCTGAAGTATACTTGCAGAAGTGTATGAAAACTACTAGTTATGTGTTAAATGGCATCATTTTAATATGTATATGAAATTTAAAGTAACACATTAAATGGCACATGGACTTTTCATTGGATCTTTAAGGCTTGAATATAACAATATAATAAATGTTGGGATGATATATACATCTTGATGTACATCTGATTACAATAAGTGTTTTGTAACAACTGATAATTTTCTAAATGTACAAACATAAACAAAAGTGACATCAGCTTCACATCAGAGTAAGGTGTTGTATAAAATATTGTTTGTTTCCCCTCTCGCTTCCTACCTACAAAAATCACAACTTCCCCAAACAATGTACTGCTATGCAAAAAAATAACAAAAAACAACAACAAAACACTTTACTTGACATGGAATCATAGTCTATTTATGAGATTCACATCATTTTATCTGTCTCATGTTTATGCACTGTACATAAATAAACTAGGATACAAATGAGCCACGTCATGACAAAACCAACATAATCGTTTTGTGACCAGCATGGATCCAGACCAGCCTGAGCATCTGCGCAGTCTGATCAGGATCCACTGTTCGCTATCAGTTTCTCTACTTGTAATAGGGTTTGAAAGCTAACAGCATGGATCCTGATCACCCCAGTAAAAATTTCAGTGGAATACCACTGGAATACCACTAGAATACCGCTGGTATTCCAGTGGATTTTCAGTGGAATACCAGCGGTAAATTTTGGTGGTATTCCACTAAAAGTTTACCGCTGGTATTTCAGTGGAATTCCACTCCACTGGAATACCACTGAAATACCAGCGGTAAACTTTTAGTGGAATACCACCAAATTTTACCGCTGGTATTTCAGTGGAATTCCACTGGAATACCAGTGGAATTCAACCAAATTCTACCGATGGTATTTCAGTGGAATTCCACTGAAATATCCAGCGGTAAAATTTGGTGGTATTCCACTAAAAAGTTTACCGCTGGTTTTCCAGTGGAATTCCACTGAAATACCAGCAGTAAACTTTTTGTGGTAATTCCATTAAAAGTTTACCGCTGGTTTTCCAGTGGAATTCCACTGAAATACCAGCGGTAAATTTTGGTAGAATACTACCAAATACAGAGCCGGGACGGACAGTGCGATTTTAATATGCCCACCTTCGGGGGCATAAAAATCACTGGATATAGTAGTTGAATTAGTTAAAAATACAAAATCATTCCAAAGAGCAGATATAATAGCAAATATTTTTATATACATTTGTTGGCTTTATTATATAATAGTAAGTATTGAGTCTCAACACATTTTTTTAGATGTAGAATATTTTCCCTAAACTAAACAGTTATTTTTGGTTATTCTCTTCTGCTTTGTTTTATAATATTTTCCTTGTTAAAGATGCACTCTTACTCCCAAATAAGATTTCCTAAAGTTAATAATATTGTTTTAATAAAGCACAAAAAGTGCAAGAACAGTTCATGAACAGTTCCTAAACTACATTTACATTATTTCACATTCATGAAAAATGCAAGAACAGAGCAGACAGATGATACCAATCAATTTGCGGACTGACAAGTCTAAACAATATGTACTCAACATAAGCTCTAAGCTATATTGTTCAAAAGTAAACCACAAACATGTAAACTACATGTAAAATTTAAAAACTACACATCTTTGTTTAACAAGAACTAAGAAATAGTTTTTTCAATACAGCTTGCTGATTTTCAAAAGTGCAAAAACCAAGAACTTGAAATTAGTTTCCTTAGTTTCCAATGTTTCACTTATGTTGTGATTTATTTCCTTCTGATGACCTTTTGTAAGTTCTCTAGTTTTTTATTAAATACTTCTTTTGATACACGGTTTTCTTCCTCACTAGTTTTTTAAAGATTGCTGAGTTTCAAGGGTTCAAGTGGTGGTCTCGGGGAATCCTTGCACTTATTGGTCATCTTTCCAGTCCTAGAGTGGGTTCCAAGTTCCTCCACAGTGAAGACAGTCTTTGCTAATGTAACCAAGACTTCTTGAGTATCACTTAGATGTTCCACAGCTTATAATTCGGGGTCCTCCACTTTTGTATTCTGACTCTCTAAAGCAGTAATTCGCTCCTCCATGCGCCGAATCTTTCTACGCAGGCTTCTGCACTCATCCTCCCATCTAGTTTAGAATAACCAAAAAAAAACAACAACAATATAACGTCTAGTGTTTGAAATGACAGTTTTAAACATCACAGAAATGTTACGAAAAAATGCGTTTCCATAGTACCCTTCAAACCTATTTTTATACCCCAGTATCAGGGTAATCAGTTTTTCATTAATATTTAAGAAGAAAAAGCTAATTATGCGAATTTTAATCCTTGTGAAATTAGACTGAATTAAGATTTCGGGAATTTTTGCCATGAAAAAATATCTGGTTCTACTGTAGACAATTGTAAAATTGGGTCCTTGTAATCTCAACTATATTGCTTACCCGTCAGATCTAGCCTCAACCACACAACCCCTAGCAGTTCCTGCCTTTTCGATGAACTTTCACATTGGACACTGTCAGCAGGACCTATAATATTAATCACAATCAAGAAACTTCTAACATCATAAACAATTGACCAATATTTTTAAAATATCCTGATCGACAACCGTATCATTATAATTTTTCAATTTGCATGTTCTAAGTAATGTTTTAATACTCAAAATATCTTGTTCAAGCATGTTCAACCACTTCACATCCTGCCCCTTACTAATACAGTAACAGATTACCATGACCAGTGTAAATTTTAGAGAATTTAGTTAAATATATAGTAGAATAAATTGTAAACTGGAATACGGGCCAGTAAATTAAAAAAAATCTTAAATTCAATGCCTGAGAATTCAATTGTATTCAGGTCAGTGCTACAAGTATGACACTGTTTATGCTATTTATGTTCTTTGCAAATCATCATGTGGGATTTACTTTAATGGACCATATTCAGATTCTCTAGTAATAAGCTTTGGCAGTGTCAAAGACAAGCTATTTTAGCTAGGCCGTATCCTGGACCACTGACCTATTAATTTTATTGGCCCACACAACTGTTTAGTGGTCCAATAATTCCTATAAATGCACAGAAATCTAGAGATTAAATCCAACACCCCCCCCCCCCCCAAAAAAAAAAAACAAAAAAAAAAAAACAACAAAAAACAAACAAACAGAAAACATTTTATTTCTGTGCCAATTAAATTTTTGGATTTAAAAATACAGTCAGTCATGTGCTATTTTCCTTGCTGATCATATTCCATTATAAAACTACATAAATTAATGGTGATATAAAAATATTGTCTCTTTATAAAAAAACTTTTTTTCTAATATAAGGGAAAACTGCTAAGGTACTGAACTGTCTGCATACTAGGGTGTTGAACTGTCTGGGGATAAAAAAAACTTGCTACCATGCATTTTTCAAAAAACTATTTTAAACTAGATTCTATCTTTTAGAAGGCATTAGCAAATAATTGCCTGCAGGGAAGCAGAACCGTCTTCAATCTTCAACGATGCTTTGTTTTTTATTCATTTTATATCGATCCTTTTCAACAACAAAGAAATAAATAAAAACGGGTCGCGAAAATATGTGACAAATGTCAGTTTACGCAATATTTCCAGTAAGGTTTAAGTATCTTAACTGTAACTAGGAATGAGCTGGAAATACAATTATTATTTCTATTGTTAAAGTCGGCAAATTGTTACAAAACAATGCTTTTAGAAGTGAAGAAAGGTCATTAAAATAATTATAGACTCTTCATTTTTTTCTTGGAGGAGTCATAAATACGCCGGTTCAGTTTGGAAAAAAAATCAATTGGTGCATTTATGATAATACTCACAGTGAATTTCACCGAGGTCTTCTTCTGATAATTTGCTTGAGCAATTTCACCTTCCTTGTTGTATATCTTTATTGGGGAGATGATATCATCAGTTCACTGTTGATATGAGACGAAGTTTTTGCCGTCTTTGAATATTGCGCGCTCAATAGACCTGTGTACTACGCAATAAACATGTGTACTACATCAATAAACATGTGTACTACGTCAGTAACATGTGCTCGATTTTCATAATTTCGTGTAATTCCGTTGTTTTTGCCGTCAATACAATGACCATACATGCCATAATTTTAAGACTCATTTCCGGGACACTTTTCATTTGAAGGTGGGGCATTGATCAGCAAACGTATTTCTTTTTTTTTTAATTTACATAGTAGCATACAACCTATAGGCCATATAACCGGTAATTACAACTTGCAAATTTAATGACACCATAAACAAAGTCAGAATGTCAATAATTATTAACTGTTTTTCTATCTTTTTTAAGTATTTAGGCATCGTTCATTCAATCGGTCACAGAAAAGAATAAAGCTTTGTTAAGTAATGACAATTACCCACGTCGTTTACCTGAAACATTCGCTGAATCTTGTATTTTATCACCTCATATTTAGCGGTAATTTTCACGGTGTTTGACCACTAATAAATGTCTCCAGGCAGATTAAATTTATACTGTCCAGTTGGCCAGTGTATGACACCTTCACTCAGGAAGCCACAAGGGGTAATTAATCTTTTAATTAATCAAAATTATTGCCGATAATTGTTTGTTGGAAGGGGCACGTAGATATACCAATCAAAGGATTAGTGTCACCATTGCAAGCTGTTAGGGGATAATCGTTGGTTATTAGCGTTCTAGATAAGTTAAAAAAAAACTTGACAATAAAATTATATAAAAAAGTAAAATTTCTTGCTTCAAAGTAGATTATTTTAGATTTTTTTTACCAGGACATAAATCATCTCCGGGACAGACACCTTATTTCAGGGATTGTCCATGGCATGTATGACAATGACTGAATAATTTTGATTATATCATTGAGGCCTACAAATTTTATTTCACAAATCTATTATTTTAAGCCCAACAGGCACTTGAATTTCAAACAAAGCTACCGTAATTTCCAAAAATTTTGTGTTGCTACGTCATCAGTATACGTATCCAATACGTCATGAATTATGCCTATATTTATCGTCTTGGTTAGCGTAAATATACAGATATTGCTCGAGTATAATCGTTAATGTTTGCTGGGTAAGTAAAGAGTAAGTTATCATTGTTAATTTTCGTCAGCATCTGAAGTACATGTTAATATGACCTGCCACATACACTTTCATATTTAAAACAAATAAAGAAGAAAGTACTACTGCAGTATATAGATAGATAAGTTGGTTGAGTAAAAATTGGGGAATTTTATTAAAGAATCGACTGATTGAATTTCCATGGTCAAGCAATAAAAAAAAAATACTGATTTCTTTATTTTATGCAAAAAACTGTTTTGGGCCTGTGCTAATCTGCCCAGGTCTTTATCTATTCTTGACCAGTTATCATTCTATTTCTGTAGTTATTTAATAACAAATCATGAACACATGGTCTTCATCAAAAGTTCTTCAGAAATTCATTAACCAATGTATTTAGGTCATCAAGTGTTCTTGAGCAGTTATCATTTCTATTTCAGCAATTATTAAAGGACAAATCATGAACTCATGGTTTTCATCAAAAGTTCTTCAATAATTCGCGACATTATTAAAGGACAAATCACGAACCCATGGTTTTCATCAAAAGTCCTTCAATAATTCCTGATCCCAAGTTCATGAACCTTTAAAGAATTTGGTTTCGTTCTTTTTATGCCAATGAACAGTTCATGAACAAGCTTGAAGAACTGTTCATGAACATAAGTTCTTGAACAATCATTATGAAGTGTTTAGGACCAGTTCGTGAACTGTTCTTAAATGTATTGAAACGTTCATGATTTCAAGAACACTATTTCACTGGGGTGATATACTGGTTTGAACCATGACTGTCTAATCATCCAGTAAATTTATACTATGATTGTATTTCTATCATATAATTGAAACATTATATTATTCAATTGTTTTTAACTGTGAATAAATAATTCAATTACTTAATTGTAATGACTATATTGATTATGATGTTTACCCTAGAATTCTATTTTTTACCTCAGATTACCAACATGTATACACACAAATATGATCAGAGACAATTTGGATGGTACCTTTTTTCATGTCGTAATTGTACATACCAATGGTAAAAATTAGTCCACTGGAAGTGTCCTTATCAAATTGTATATATATTATAAAGTCACCAAGTTCACTGGAAATCCAGTGGTTTACACTGGAAATCCAGTGGTTTACAACTGAAATTAATTTGACCAGTGGCATACCACTATTCAACAGGTTACCAGTGAAAAACCAGTGGAATACCAGTGGAATTATAATAACCACTGAAATGCAGTGTTATTCCCCTGGTATTATGTAGTATTCCAGTGGAATACCAGTGGATTTATGGTTACCACTGGAATACAGTGGTATTCCACTGGTATTCCACTGCATTTTTACTGGGGCAGACTGCGCGGATGCGCAGGCTGGTCTGGATCCAAGCTGGTCGCAAACCCATTATGTTGGTTTTGTCGTTATGCGACTCAAATGTTAAATAAAACTTTGATACTTTGTAAATTTAAGCAGATTCTAAGAATTCACAATTTTTGTTTTTAAATCCATATAGTTTATATTCAAAAGGAAAGTAACACTATGAATAAATGCTATTTTTTTCCTACCTTAACCTACCCAAACTGGCACTAGTTGTGGGATGCGATGCAAAAATAATAAGTTTAGCCTACAATGGTATATATCCTAATAAGGCCAAAAGTTTTTATGACGTTTAAGTGTCTAACAAAAATATTTAACAAATATACTGTATAATGTTATTGTTATTTTATCTAACAGAAAACAGTTAATATAATTCATTAATGTCAGCAGTGGACATTCATAATACTTTAAAACATTAATGGTAAAAAATTAGAAATAAATTGATGGAGATTAATAAACTACAGTAGAACTTCTATGAGTCGAACTTCGATTAGTCGATTTTCTCGATGTGTCGAAGAAAAATGAAAGTCCCGATTTTTTCCCCTATATATTCCTTATAAAAACCTATTTATGAGTCGAGATTTTATTTGTCGAATTTTTCGATGTGTCGAAGTTTTTTCGTGGTCCGTATAAAGTAAATCTAGTGCAATTTACCACAAATTAGTCGAAGTCTTTCGATTATTTGACACCTTCGATCTCGAGACATTTTTCACACCTTATCTGGCTGCGAAGACGATTTCCAATCAACTTGTGTGACAGGTGTCAACAACACATCCGTGTGTTCAAACAGCCTTTGTTTGCGATAAAATGTGTGATGAAATGCATTAATCCTAAATCGTTACTATTCTAATTGCCGTAGTGGTATTTGAAAGTAAACAGTAAGAACTACTTTCATTTGAAAACATCCATGACCCGGTGTTGCGTGAGAATAACACACGAAATATTTACTATAAGCCGGTTTAGTTATCGCCCTTTCTAACTGTAACGCCTTTTGTAACTCTATTGTATACGTCAATGGGTAGTCAAAATAATAAAATATGATAAACAAGATCAACAAGGAAAGGCGGCGCTCAATGAACGCAACCCCCGTGAAAAACGTTATCTAACATGCTATATTTATTAAAGTTAAATGTAAAATATCTGATTGATGATTGAAAAACATGAAAAAGGTTTTGTTATAGATCTTATGATTAGCACTAGTCACGGGTCGAAATTTTGTCATGGAACTGAGAGCAATTCATGAGTCGAAGTCCCGATGTGTCGAAGTTTTTACCCAAGTCCCTTCAACTTCGACTTACCGAAGTTCTACTGTAATTAAAAGATGTCAATCATGGTAAGACCACTAACTGCGACTCCTGAGGTTCTGGGTTGGATCCTCAGGGTAAACATCCTTGGTATTTTTCAGAAACACTTTCAATGTTTCCCACCTTACTAGAGGTTTACTGGTACAAAACCCAGGTAATCCTCACATGTATCTGAGTGCTATACACTGGGCATGTAAAAGAACAATAAGAGCTAGGGACTGGTTACCGGATTCCCTTTTATCTCATAGCTTTCTCTACAGTCTGCTGAGGTATTTAGGACCCTACTGGAAATAAGTGTTTGCACTTTCGTAGCTTATCCTTGACCACCCGGTCTAAAGAAAATCAATCAATCAATCAATCAATCAGTTTAGGAATAAATCTAAAACTAGAAAAATACCTACTTCAATTACCATACATAAATTTACCCAAAATTTTGATAAATAAAAGATTAATATTGCTGTCTATTATTGAAGTGACTCTTCAGTTCAGTTAATATTTACTAATAATTAAGTAATATTATTATAATGTTCTTTCATTCTTATTCTAGGTTAAAGTTAATTAATTATCAGTGTGTATTTTCTCCATGGAAGCTACTGCCAAGCAAAATAAAGGTGGCTTAATTAAAACATAATTAATGATACAATAACTTGGCTTTGAACTATAATAAAAAGAAGGTTTTGGATGACAATGATAGAATTTTATTATCATTTTTATTTTGGATTTCTTTGAAAGTATCTCACTCAAGCAAATAGTAAAATTTGTCCTGAATTAAAATTTTATTACTTTCACATATTTTACTTTGCCATTGTTGTTGTATCATAGGGAATTTTTGCATGACCTTAGTTTTCAAAGTAACTGATATATTTTTTAAAGCTAACTAACATAATTCTGTTTATTTTGATAACAAAATCTTTCTTTATTTTGACATCAACTTCTAAATTTTCTTAGTTAAGTAAAGTTTGAATATATTTATTTCCTGAATATATGCATATCAATGTAATACAATTATAATACAAGTCAAATAATATATTTGTTGTTTCAGTATACAGGTTACTTTTGTTTTACAAATTTTATTCTTTTTTATATAATTATATTCTAAATATCTGTCTGAAATTGCATGTCTTAGGATAATAAATGATACGTTTTGTGAAGTTTTAGAAATATTTGCCATGGCAAAAATGCTGAAAAATTTGCCATGGGAAGAATGCAGAAAATTTTGGCATGGAAAATTGTTGTTGTCATGGTAAACTGGTGTAATTACAATAGCAAAATCACTGAAACCCAGTTTACAATGGTAAAATTTACATACTGAAAGACAAACAAAACCTAAAACATTTGAAACTATTTGTAAATAAATAGTTTTTCATTTTCTAAAAGCTAATATAGATATAGGTTCAATTTGCTGATAACCTGCATGGCAAAAAGAAACCAATTGCTATTTCTTCAATAACAAATGCTTTTGTCTGAGGATCATGTTGGATGATCATCTATCTTAAAAACTAGATATCACCAAATAAAAAACATGCACACCAACGAAAAGCAAAATAGATATAGAAAAACGGTCCAAGAAATCTTGTTCAATGATGTCAGTCTAAATATAAAAGTTTCAAGGACAAGTTACTTTTTTTTAACTATGAATTGCTAGTGTAGATATGTTTGTTACAAACACTTAAATAGAAATGCTTGTTGCTTTTTACAAAATGTTTGCATCCTATAGCTTTGTATAAGAAAGCTCTGTATCAATGGGCTAAATTTGTGCAAAATGGGCAACAAAGGGAGAAAATGACTGAATACAGGCTTTAGGGAAATGCAGGAAGGAACAATTTCAGTAGAACTAAATGTTATTTCCTATTTACAAGTGGTAACAAATTGTGTCCTACAGCAGGTGCCGAATTGATAGTTGATCTGA